AGAGCATATCATGTAAACAAGATCATTGACATTTGAAATGTAAGGCACAAAATTTGAAAAGCTCACAACACCAGATTTTGCAATTGAATTACTTCACAATTTGATTTTGACATTTACACTCTTTGTATAATATTTGGCCGAATTTTGCGGCTCTTTACCCTAGATCACCTTTATTTCTCCTTATATCACCCTAGGGTCGTGACTACATTGGCCACACTTCTTTTCTCTTTTTCTTCTGAATTTTTTTTTAATAGCTCATTTATTGCCTTGAATACAATCTGAAATACAATCATACTCTACATGTTCCCTAGATGGTAGGATGTTTAATGGATGATAAGGTGATAGAAAGAAATGGCTAAGTGTTTGAGCACAAAGGGGTTTACAATGGAATATGTATTGTATGGGTTGATGGAGGAAAAAGAAAGAGGCTTAACAAAGATGGCCTAAATCATATCTTAGTTATAAACTTGACATTCCAGTGAATCACACAAGCAAAAATGCATACAATTGGGTAAGACATGCAAGAGTTGTATAATCATGGCTAAAGTGCATAGAAAGCTCAAGTATAATTATGTGAGACTTAGCTAGCAAAAGAATAAGATTCAGACCTAACACAATGCTTATCAAATTCCTAAGAGCCATATTAGAAGTTAGACTCAAGAAATGTCCAGCCTCCGCTAGTTTATTTCTTTGGCTGCTTCCTTTTTCTTTATTTTTGTTTTCCATTCTCTAAGATTTACTCCTTCAACACCTTAACCACTATATCACTTATGTTTTTGTGAAAATATGCTAAAATATTTATATATATACATGGTTTTGTTTTGAATTTTTTTTGCAAGAAACTACATATTTTCTACACTCAGAGTGTTTGCCAGCTCACTATATAACCAACTTAAATAAGTTAAATCCATCATGCAATGCATTTCATTCCAATTTTTTATGATAAACTAATAGATAATTGACTAAATAAACATCCTGCAAAATTTCAATAAAAATTTCCAAGTTTTTCTTACAATTTCCGTGGTTTTTATTCAATTTTTATCGATATCGATAATATCCCGATATTTCCATCGAAATTTCCGTGTTTTTGGCCTACCGATATTTCCGATATCACCGATATTTCCGATATCACCGATATTTTAGACCTTGGTTTCAGGAAGAGTTTCAACTAGCACTATTCAGAACTCCCTATGGTGAAAATATTTTCCTGGACATGGTATATGCTTCATACCAACATCTTGAACTAATTGACTAGGATATATATAATTCCATGCACCTACTTAAGCGAATTGGATTTTGCTTTTCTAGGTTTTTGATCTCTTTGATGAAAAGAAAAATGGTGTCTTTGAATTTGATGAGTTTGTTCATGCACTCAATGTCTTCCATCCATATGCCCCTACAGATGATAAAATTGATTGTAAGTCTTACTACTATAAGAGGCAAAGCTAAATGTTGTGCGTGTGTGTGTCTTTCTTGTTATCTTATGTTGTTTGTTAATTACTTGCAGTTGCATTTTGGCTCTACGATATGAGACAAACCGGGTTCATTGAGCAAGAAGAAGTGAGTCTTGTACTACTTTTTTACTGTCTAAGTCTCCGAGGAAATTTATGTTTTTATGGTTATTTTTACGTTTGATACCTTGTATGAACACGGACACGATATTTAAATTAAGCGGCCTCTGTTTGGTTTCAGGTTAAGCAAATGGTGATTGCCATAATGATGGAATCTGACTTGAAATTGTCAGATGATCTTCTTGAGTCTATCATTGATAATGTAAGCACTACGTAGTTGTGTAAGTTTGGATGTTGTTTTACTGGGTGGTAATCAAAGCTTGTGGAGAATTTAGTACTCACGACATCTTCTATGACAAAGTATTAACAGTGTACTTCTATGACATTGTATTAACAGTGTACTTTTTTTTCTTTCTTGTAGAGGTATTTCCTTTTGCCTTTGCAATTGTATGTGGTGAAACTATGGACAATTGGAGGTGGTTTCTGCAAAAGATATCAGATGTCTTGCTGGGGTTTTTTGGGTTTTTTAATTTTTTTTGGTATGAAATGGTATTAACAATGTACTTCTATGACATGGTATTAATAGTGTACAGAGGTTCGGTGGAGAAGGGTAGTAAGGATAGCTCCTTGATTTTCGTTATTTTTTATTTATTTATTTATTTAAAGTTCGGGTTTTTATAAAAAAAATTGAGTTGGGCTTGTTTTGGATTGTTTTTTGAGTTTTTTTTGTGTTGGGTTTGTTTTAAGTTAATCAATGGTAGAGATGTAATTTATAAGAACTTCAACACTCATTTCTTATGTTGTAAATAATTTTTGGGTATGTTTCTAAAGTGCATTCCATGTGGAGTTTTTATATATTATAATTTCAGCCCTTATTTTGGGTATATTACTAAAGCTCCCTAAAACTTATTTGTCCTTCTATTGGTTCGAATTGATTCTTCTCGATGATGCAAAACCCCTAGCAACAAATACAGGATTGATGCTATTGGAATGTTGGACACAAGAATTAATCCGTCAACCTACCTAAGATGATCTGCTACGACCATCTGAGACATCCAAGTTGTTAATTTGTCCACCAATAAGAACCAGAGCCATGCCTTGTAGCTCACACTTCCAATGAAAAAGCTTACAACTCTCCCAAGTTCAATTTTGAACCACATGGGCTCGCCATTTTTTCTTGGGCTAGGACCAGAACCATTATTTTCTTCGGGCCAGGCCCATTGTGGCTACTGAAGACTATCAGCGTTGCTCCAACAAGGCATAATTTGTGGATCTTTGTGTTGACATACCAAATACAACTTGTGCCATTAAACCAAAATTGTGAGAAATTCCTAATTTCTTCTATAAAGAATTCAACTTTCTGTCATTGATCATGGTTTCTGCAAATCAACTCTAAATTTTGCAGTCCCCAATTTTGTCCTTTTAAGTGTTAAACTAGATGATACAAAACAAATTATGTGACTTGGATATTTCAAATGGAGATGATGTGCTAGACGTACATGGAATTATGGGATTTGTTAATGGTTTCTTTTATAGAAAATGTGATTGATGATTCTGGGGTTACTGAAGATTCAAAGCTTAGTTGCTTGATAAACACATAATTATTACAATTTCTATCCCTAATCTATATTTGTTCATACTTTGTTTCACTGAATTTTGAACCAATTAGAAGGTTACCTTGCATTTTACAAATCTAATTGCACTTCATTGAAATAAAGGCTAATTTAGTTGAATTTTCTATTAGGTAGCTCTCTCTTTGCAAGCAGCCCAAGGAGAGAAAAGAAATGAAGCCTAAACTCCAGTCCATTTTCGGCAGTCAGTTTGCAAGCCCCAAACCACACGTTTTACTGCTCGGATGGGAATGTATTCTTCATGAAAGTTGTTCTAATGGGTGTCTATTATAATATTTCCAAATTTGAGCCCCATTGGATACATATTGAAACCTCAGGCCTTCCTACACTAAACCTGGTGCAGAATAATTCGTTTTTCCAGCAACACATGTGCAGCAGCAAAAGAACTTTAGCAGTCAGCAATTTTGGACAGAAACACATGGGTTGGCAGCAAATAAAGAGCCAGACCTCCATGCTAAAAGAAGAATGGACAGCACCATGTGTGCAGCTGCCAACATGTGAAGATGATGATTATGTTGATGCTTTAGTTGCTTTCCTTCCTTTATAAATAGAAGGTAATGCAAAGAGATTGAGAGTAAAATTGTAGAGCAGATTTTAGTAGAATAGAGTGCAGATTTTGTGCAATTCTTAGGCACCAAGGGAGAGGAAAAATGGCAATATAATTGGAGAGAACCTTGGGGAGCCATGAGGCAAGGAACCAAGGGGTTGATGATGCAATTTTTCCTTCTCCTCTTTGTTCTTCATTTTTATCTTGTATTGTTATTTTATTTATGTCTAGTTAAACTTTTTTAATGATGAAATACCATTATGAAATGAAGTTTTAGTTCTTAACTTTCAATTCCCAACTATTATATTCTTCAATGTTTATAATTTCACCTTCACATGATTAATGGGATAATTTTCTTTTTACCACTTCTATCATGTATTTGTGGTAGTTAGGAATAAAAGTTAATCTATTAATGCATCCTTGGTTTTGTATTACTAATATACAATTTTCTTTGATCCTTTGTAGTTAAACAATATTTTTCACATAGGATGGCTTAGAATTTGTAATTATGAAGGGAATGGGAATTTACATAAGATTCATAAAAATGCATGCTTAATTGATATATCTTGAGAAAATAGTAGATTGATTTCTTGATTGCTACTCCGTGGGAATTGTTAGAGTTTATGGAATAATGGTATGGAATCTAAAACCTTAGTTTTCCCCCTATTTTAGTTTATTTGCCTTTTCAATTCTTTGCTTTATTTCATTTTCTTTTTCAACTTTGAATTAACTTGGGTTAGGTTTGTTTTCCATCTTTTTCACGCACTCCCTGTGGGTACGACCTCGCACTTACACACACTTATTCTACAAACGATTCGTGTACTTGCGAGTTTTATAAATTTAAAACATGCACTTTCGGGTGGCCAACAAGTTTTTGGCGCCGTTGCCGGGGAGTGCAATGGAAAACTAATCAAATATGAAGTAATTTAATTTTTTCTTTTAGTTTTATTTTGTGGGGAACTAACTCCCTAGCTAAGGCTAGGGAGAAAGCTTTTAATATGAGTGTGTAATTTTTATTAGTTTGATCCAAACTTAAACTTTAATGTGAATTTGTCATTTTTGTTCAAATGGAATTTGTAGTTTTCTTTTTAATTAGTTGATGAATGTTTGATAATCTAATTCATGGGTTCAATCATGTTTTTTCCATTGTGTAGTAAAAACTTTCATGCTTTTAAAAGAGAAGAGAATTACTTAGATTAATAGAATTTCGATGAAGATTATTTTTTGATAGTTTGTTGCCAATGGTACAAGTTATGCTTAGAATACTTATAAAGGAAATTAAAAAGAACTTTAATTATTTTGAACAACTACATTGGAAAATATTTTGTGGATCAAATTATTAAGAGTTGCATGCTTATGTTAAAAGTGGAACCCCAATGCCTTAGTGTTTTAATCAATTGAATTTTCTTTAAATCAAATCTTGCATAAATCTACTTCTCAATCACACTTGTTCTTTTTCATCTCTGTTATTTTCTTTACACCGCTCTCTGTGGAAACGACACTCGGACTTCCGAGCTACACTACTATACGACACCTTCCCTTAGGTTTTGCAAAGTGGTACGAACAAATTGGCGCCGTTGCTGGGGATCGAACCCGGGTCACCCGCGTGACAGGCAGGAATACTTACCACTACACTTGTTGGCCACCCGAAGGTGCATGTTTTAAATTTATAAAACTCGCAAGTGCACGAATCGTTTGTAGAATAAGTGTGTGTAAGTGCGAGGTCGTACCCACAGGGAGTGCGTGAAAAAGATGGAAAACAAACCTAACCCAAGTTAATTCAAAGTTGAAAAAGAAAAAGAAATAAAGCAAAGAATTGAAAATGCAAATAAACTAAAATAAGGGGAAAACTAAGGTTTTAGATTCCATACCATTATTCCATAAACTCTAACAATTCCCACGAAGTAGCAATCAAGAAATCAATCTACTACTTTCTCAAGATATATCAATTAAGCATGCATTTTTATGAATCTTATGTAAATTCCCCTTCCCTTCATAATTACAAATTCTAAGCCATCCTATGTGAAAAATATTGTTTAACTACAAAGGATCAAAGAAAATTGTATATTAGTAATACAAAACCAAGGATGCATTAATAGATTAACTTGTATTCCTAACTACCACAAATACATGATAGAAGTGGTGAAAAGAAAATTAACCTATTAATCATGTGAAGGTGAAATTATAAACATTGAAGAATATAATAGTTGGGAATTGAAAGTTAAGAACTAGAACTTCATTTCATAATGGTATTTCATCATTAAAAAAGTTTAACTAGACATAAATAAAATAACAATACAAGATAAAAATGAAGAACAAAGAGGAGAAGGAAAAATTGCATCATCAACCCCTTGGTTCCTTGCCTCATGGCTCCCCAAGGTTCTCTCCAATTATATTGCCATTTTTCCTCTCCCTTGGTGCCTAAGAATTGCACAAAATCTGCACTCTATTCTACTAAAATATGCTCTACAGTTCTACTCTCAATCTCTTTGCATTACCTTCTGTTTATAGAGGAAGGAAAGCAATTAAAGCATCAACATAATCATCATCTTCACATGTTGGCAGCTGCACACATGGTGCTGCCCATTCTTCTTTTAGCATGGAGGTCTGGCTCTTTATTTGCTGCCAACCAATGTGTTGCTGTCCAAAGTTGCTGACTGCTAAAGTTCTTTTGCTGCTACACATGTGTTGCTGGAAAAATGAATTCTGCATCTGGCTTGGTGTAGGAAGGCCCGAGGTTTCAATATGTATCCAATGAGGCTCAAATTTGGATATGTTATAATAGACACCCATTGGAACAACTTTCATGAATAATGCATTCCCATCCGAGCAGTAAAAACGTGTGTTTTGGGGCTTGCAAGCTGACTGCCGAAAATGGACTGGAGTGTGGGCTTCATTTCTTTTCTCTCCTTGGGCTGCTTGCAAAGAGAGAGCTACCTAATAGAAAATTCAACTAAATTAGCCTTTATTTCAATGAAGTGCAATTAGATTTGTAAAATGCAAGGTAACATTCTAATTGGTTCAAAATTCAGTGAAACAAAGTATTAACAAATATAGATTAGGGATAGAAATTGTAATAATTATGTGTTTATCAAATACCCCCAAACCTATAATTTGCTAGTCCTCAAGCAAACTAAAATTAAAAACTAAGAATAAATGAAAACTAATTAAGCCACTTCCGCAGGGATCTCGATTGCATTTAGTATATGCAATAAGCCTTTAAACCCCTGGGTTGCCCTAGTGGACGAGAGTTATAGTCTCGTGAGGGTTTTCAGTGATGATACCCACAAACATCGAAATGGAGGTTAAACTTAAGGTTATTTCAAATACCCAGCAAATCATCAAGAAGAATACAAAGCAGTAAAAATCCAAATTTTCAACTCATGGACAATTTTTAAAAGAGCAAACACATTTTTTAAAAACTCATCCCAACTTAAAGTCAAAGGCACTTATAACCATTTAGTAAATTTTTCATTTGTTTCCTTTGGTGTAATGTGAACCAACACAGTTGAGAGACCAAAATAAACTTCAATCATACTAACCTCATTATTTCAAGTATAGTTCAAATTTCATTGCAAATAACAAACCAAGGCATTATTATTATTCTTATTTTTATAAACATATATACATTTTTTTTTTGTACATTTCTTTTGGGTGACCGTGCAATGTTTAGTTTCATTAAGCTTTCTAATTAACCCATGTAACGAGTTTTAGGCTAACAACTCTCAAACCGAAGGTTTTAAGGCATTAGGTGTTGAACACCCCCAAGAGCTTACTAACTCGAGTTAAAAAGGCTACGAAACTAAACTAGTCACAACACAAATTTATACCAAAACCCTACGGGTTGACGCGAACACTCACTGCTAATTAGGCAAGAGGCCCGGTTACTAAGTAAAGTTTGGATAAATTTTATTTCACAATATTTTTTTTTGCAATTAACTTTTTTTTTTATAAAATTTTTAATAATGAGAATACCAAGGTAAACAAGAGCAATGCCATCTAACTTCTCTTAAAACAACAAGGCTAAAATAATTGATCTTTCTTTTATTCTCTCAAAAGTGTTAGTGTGCATGTGTGAATTCAAAGTACAACTCACGACTCATCCACTAAACAGAAATAAGTGAAAAAGACTAAAAAGAAAGAGATGAAGTTAATCACACATGTTTCCAATCGTAAAAACCGTCCATGAATATAAAATCTTAATTTATATGCAAAGAATTCTAATTGATGATAAAATGACTTAACCTCAAATTTTTTATTTTTTAATTTTTTTTTATTTTGTGAACAAATTTGCAATCTAACAAATTGCCAAAAAAAATAATTCCACTTCCCCCCAACTTGAATGAAACATTGTCCTCAATGTTGAAAATGTAGGCATCAACAATGTTAAAACAAGAAACGAAAGGATTAAAGCAATTAAATAAAAGAACAAACAAGAATTAAAACTACACACAGTTGCAAAAATAAAAACAAAACAAAACAGTAAGCCCTAACAGACAGTTCTACGCAACTGAAACCCAAACTTTGAAGAAGTCCAACCCATTGGAACGCCCAAACCAATTGAAAACCCAACCCAAACGAAAGCCCAAAAGAGAAGAAAACAAAAACAAAGAAGCGTTTTCAGAAGCACAAGGAGCGAGAATTCTGAAAAAAAAAAGAAAAAAAAAGGGCCCCGATGTCTCGGCTTCTGTGAGTCACGGGCAACAAAGCGAGGGACGTGTCTTGTGCAGAGGCCCCTCGCACATCCCTAAGCTAGAATTATTGGCTTCTCAGGAAGATGTGATGACTTTTTGTGTTTTTGAAAGCGCTGAAAGGTAGAAATGCAATTAAAGGGGTTGGGGAACAGGTGAGGTGATAGAGGGGGATAGGCCGTAAGGGCCGCGCGAAACTCAGAAGCGCAGTGGGCTAGGGTTAAGCAGAAACTAAGTCTATAAAAGAGAAAGAGAAAGAGGGGAAAAAACACACAAACTCAGAAAACCTCAAATTTTAAAAGAAAGTGAGAAATCAAAGCAAGAAATCAAATGGCCTCTTCCTACCCATTTTCATTGGATCTCAACCTAGCTCCACCAACTCAGACATGGGGCCAAGCAGCGGCATTGCTTGCTAAGGAAGCATCCATTGAATGCGTCTCTAAATAGATACCTTGCTTGGCTATACTGCAATGTTTACTAAGAACCAAGATCAGGGCTCCACATGTTCCTAATTTCTTGCCAATGTTGGCTAAGAATCAAGACCAGGATTCTCTTGGATCAGGATTTTATAGCTCAAATTCTGAATCCTTTGTGGTCTAATTCGCAACAAAGAGGGCTTCAGAGGCTGTGGTAACTCTTGCTGCACCTCATCGGTTTTGATATTTCCTCTTTAATACTTGATCAAGCACAAATTTATGTTACAAAAGATGCACATCTGTCTATATGTCTATCTTGAGATGGCAAATTGTCAAAATTGCCTTTTTTAGTCTTTGCTTACATTCTGAATCAATTCTCTACTTCTATTAAAACATTCCAAAGTGATTTGGTCAAGGAAGAATATATAAGCACTGCCGAATACAACTATCACAGTCCCTCTAGCTTGAGTGATTGTGAGAAATTGAAATTCCTAAGGCTGCATTTGGATGAAAGGATTTGAGATGGAGTTGGATTTGAGAAATAAAGGGTTGAGAAAAAAAATTTAAACACTCACGAGATAAAAGAGATCGAGAATCAAAATAACAAACAAACAAACATTCACACACAAATCAAACACCACAGTTTTACGTGGTTCACTCATAATTGAGCTACGTCCACGAGGTTGCTAGGGGTTTTCACTAATTGAATAAGATTACAAGTATAAGAGCACTCAAGTCTGTTTCTTGGCCTCCTCAAGTCTTATTTATAGTTTATAAGACGTGGGGTTACAATCTGGTTCAGAATGGGAAACAAAATAAAACAAAAAATAAATAAAAAAACACGAAATCAGAACGGAGGAACGTTGCTCGACAATGCAGCACAAGATAGCACACTTGGGATACTGAAGCTCTCTCAATTGCTGAAGTGCCCCACAAGACTTGAGCACACTTCGAACCACACTCTTCCGGCACTCTTGCAATTTTCCAATACTCTTAGAAGGTAGATTTTTAATTCCCTGTTCCACAAAAGCTATTATCAACTTAATAGAACTAGAATGAAGTTTATGCGAGTGTAGGATATAACCTAGCACAGAAAATGATAAGGCACGCAAACCAGACACACACAAGGATATAATATGTGAAACAAAAATCACATGCACATCCTATAGAATGTAGCCATGGAGAGAGAGAGAGAGAGAGAGAGAGAGAGAGAGAGAGAGAGAGAGAGAGAGAGAGAGAGAGAGAGAGAGAGAGAGAGAGAGAGAGAGAGAGAGAGAGAGAGAGAGAGAGAGAGAGAGAGAGAGAGAGAGAGAGAGAGAGAGAGAGAGAGAGAGAGAGAGAGAGAGAGAGAGAGAGAGAGAGAGAGAGAGAGAGAGAGAGAGAGAGAGAGAGAGAGAGAGAGAGAGAGAGAGAGAGAGAGAGAGAGAGAGAGAGAGAGAGAGAGAGAGAGAGAGAGAGAGAGAGAGAGAGAGAGAGAGAGAGAGAGAGAGAGAGAGAGAGAGAGAGAGAGAGAGAGAGAGAGAGAGAGAGAGAGAGAGAGAGAGAGAGAGAGAGAGAGAGAGAGAGAGAGAGAGAGAGAGAGAGAGAGAGAGAGAGAGAGAGAGAGAGAGAGAGAGAGAGAGAGAGAGAGAGAGAGAGAGAGAGAGAGAGAGAGAGAGAGAGAGAGAGAGAGAGAGAGAGAGAGAGAGAGAGAGAGAGAGAGAGAGAGAGAGAGAGCCATGGGAGCTTTGAAATTGGGTCAGAAGTGGAGAGGAAGACATTGGGACCTTCAATTTAATAAAGAGAATGGGTGTTTCGAAGCAACTATTGGAAAAAGGCTCGGGTCTTTCAAAGACCCTTTAACAATAGATTACAAGGAACAAATCTATAAACTATGCTATTTTGTATGTTTTATATATATGAGTATTTAATAAATAATAAATAACAAATAACAAATGAAAAATAAATATTATACTATTTGTTTGTAAGTATCATGCTAATTTTTCACTATAATATGTATTTTCAATTTTTTAATATTACGCTTTGGCAGATCCATAATTGAAAGCTCATGGAGTAATGTGAGGTTGCCGGTCCAAAATATGAATAATGTAGGGAATTAACGTCATTCTTGGTAAATCAATCTGAATTTAATTCATAAATATCAGCCATCATGAACGACATCAATTTCAAAAGCTATAAGGAAATTTGAGAGTTAGAATTACCTAAATTCATCACATGTACAACTGAGTCACTTGTATGATCAAAGCCAGGATGCCTAATTAGTTTCTTCTTTTAATCACTGCATATCCATGAAAGAAAAATAAGAAACAAAACCGAATGTTATTATCATGTCAACATACCAACAACAAAACAATGTTAGGATCAAGGGCTCATCATCTAATACATACATACCACTTTCCTGGTGACCTGCTATTGCACAATCACAATCAAGCCATAAGAGTTTTTAATGGGGACCCAATCTGCACTGACCCAACCCTTAATAAAAATAGTCTTCAAGATCAACTGACAAAGAAGAAAATGAACAAGCTGAGGTTGGTTGCCATTTGAATGAAAGTCTCAATGCAAAAGAAAGAAATTAGTAAGAAAAACGCACCAGGCTGTGGATCAATGCGAATGTCGGGGATGTGAGCAATCTTGGACCAGTCCTCACCTGTTTCTTTCTGGCATCTTTGCTTTAAGATGGGGCAATCCTTAATTATCAACCTTTTTAATGAGGCGAGGCAACAAGGCCCTTCTGGGAGTGATGCCAAATTAGGGCAATCTGATATCGAAAGCAACTGAAGTGATTTGAGGTTGCCCATCCCTTCTGGTAGTGACGCCAATTTCAGGCAATCCCAAATTTCCAGTTCTTGTAAGGAGATTAGGCATCGAAGCCCTACTGGGAGTGATGCCAGATTGGGAAGGCATCGAATTCGAAGATTGGAAAGTGACTTGAGGTTGCTGATCCCTTCTGGTAGTGATGCCAATTTAGGACAATTTGAAATATGCAGTCTCTGTAAGGAGATGAGACGACCCATCCCTTGATCTGGTAGTGATACCAAATTAGGGAAATCTTCAATTTCAAACTCCTGAAGTAATGTGAGGTTGCCGATCCCTTCTGGTAGTGATGCCAATTTAGGACAATTTGAAATATGCAGTCTCTGTAAGGAGATGAGACGACCCATCCCTTGATCAGGTAGTGATACCAAATTAGGGAAATCTTCAATCTCAACGCTCGTAATATACATATATTTTAATTTGGAGAGAACAAAGGAGGAGGGAAGGACCTTCCAGCTGCTTCCCTGTAACGATAGTCTGTCAAGATTTGGGTACAACGGCATGGAAGTTAGGTTAGGACAATCACGTATAGTTAAAGTAGAAAGACAAGGAAATGAAGAAGCTGAAGCTGATGCTGTTTCATTCCTCCACCAACCCTTGAGATTAAAGCAACAAATTAGATTAAGACTCTCTAAGGAGGGAAAGAAGGTCGTCGATGGAGAAGCAACTGATATCATCTCATTACTGGCAAAGTCTTTAACCATGTCTTCTGATATGTGCTCCAAATTCCTTAACCCGAAAAGCTCAAGACTCTTGAGAAAAGGTAAATGATCCAACAGTGGAAGATGTTGGCATCTGTCACATTGAGACAATTTGAGATTAACAATATTTGTGAGAGAATGAAACCAACTCGCAAACCTCGCACCCATATAGTACTCCAGGGTTAACTCTTTCAGACTTGAATGGGGCTGCAGCGCTTCCATTGACTTAATAATTACATCACTCTCCTTCTCAACCGCATCACTATTTTCTCTTTCGATGTGCATCCAATGTAAAGTCAACGAATAGAGATGTTGTTTCTCCTTCAAAACTACACCATCATAATTCAATTCTGACACCATATCTTTCTTGTACCTCAAATTTCTGATCTTCAACTCTCCTCTTAAATCCTTTAGCTTCCCCAACTCACTGAGCCCTGCACTGTCCCTCAACATGGAATTGTTTTCGCTCAAAACAAATATACTCAAAGTACGAAGACAAGTCAATTCACCTAGTCCACGAGGAATCCGAGCCAAGTTATTACAACCTTCCAAAATGAGATGCCTCAAGTTGATCAATTTCTTAATATCTCTAGGCAGTTCCACAAGAGAGTCACATCTTGAGAGATCTAGAGTTTCCAAATTTTGAAGTTTGACTATCCAATTTGGAAGTCTCTCAATGGGATTACGACTAAGATCAAAATATCTTAAATGTATCATTTTCCTAAGACATTTTGGCAATTTTTTAATTTCCAATCCATTCAAACTCAACATATGCAATGACTTAAAATTTGAAGCAATTGTAGCACAAAATGACTTGTGGAATGACTTCCCGTGCCACCAGCTTTGGCTTAGGAAAAGAAAAGTCCTTAGCTTATTTGATTCCAGCAAGGATGCTGGTATTTTCCATTTCGAAAAATCAACATCAAAATCGAAAGATACATGAAGAAGACGTTTTGCATTAAAATCAGTCTTCTTGCCATCTATTATTCTGCTTCCCTCCCCTGCCACTTTAACAGCAAGTTCATTCATGAGATCATGCATTTTACAGCTTTTTATTATACCAAACCTATCTTTTTCTTCTTCTTGGAAAAAAGATCTCCAAACTAGTTCGTTATAATATTCATAACCAACATCTTCCAAGCACTCATTAGGATTTGTAGACTTAACGAACCCTTGTGCCACCCACAGCTTAATTAATTTCTCTACGGGAATCTCATAATCAGGCGGGAACAAACTACAATAAGCAAAACAATGTTTCAAATGTGATGGGAGAACATCATAACTCAGCTTTAGAGTTGGTAAAATATCATTTTCTTCTTGCCTTATTGTTGAAAGCTTGTTATTCTTGAAAGCCAACCACTCAGTTTCTGGATCTCTAGTGTACAACATCCGTCCTATGGTCCTTATAGCAAGAGGAACCCCCTTACATTTTGTAGCAATCTCCTCCCCAATCACCTTAAAGGTTGAACTCGTTGGCCCTTTTCCATTTTGAAATGCCATTTTCGTAAATAAAGACCAAGACTGTTCTTCATTCAATCCCTTTAACTTATATGGTTTAGCTGTGTTTGTTATCTTTGCAACTGTATCAATACGAGTAGTTATTAGTATTTTACTACCTCTTGCACCACCCATCAACAAGTCTTTCAAGGCAAGCCATTTTTCACGATTATCATTCCACACATCGTCTAACACAAGGAGGTATCTCTTCCCATCGATCTTCTTCCTAAGCTCATTTTGCAACTGATCCATGTCAAGGCTTTTGGCTATGTCATTAGTTGCAGATTGAATGATTTTCTTAACAAGTATATCCAACTCAAATACATTTGACACACATATCCACATTTTCAGCTCAAAATGTTTCTCAACCATCTCATCGTTTAAAACTAGTTGGGCAAGTGCAGTTTTTCCCAATCCTCCAAATCCAACTATGGAAATAGTTGAGACATTTTCTGTAGAGATGGGATCCAAATCCAACAAAAGTTGAAGAATTGCTCTTTTATCTTCATCTCTCCCTATTATATTATCCTCGCGGACAAATGAGTGGGTGACCCTCTCTTTTATAACAAATCGTGCATCTTCGTGGTTCAATTCTAATTGAACAAACATTCTATTGGAGGCAATCACATGCAGCCTCTGGTTGATATTTTTAATCTTATGACCCATCTTCAGCTGAAAAGCAAGCTGGTTTGAGCTAGAGAAGAAGATGCGTACCTGCTTTGACATTTTATTATTTCCAGGCACCATTTGTCTCCACTGAGCTTCAGTATAAAACTCATCAAGCACGTCATCAGCTTCATAAACTGCATCTTCTACACTATGGAGCCACTCTTTGACTGCTTCACTGTTGGCTTGCTTTTGCTCAGCATCAAGAAGAACAGCTTGGAGTTGGGAAACTACAAGCTTAAGCTTTTGGAGCTCATCGTTGACACCCGAAACCAATCCAATCTCTTCAAAGGCACGGGAGACTAACCTTTCAATGATCCCTTGTGCAATGTTGAAGAGGACTCCTTCTGCCATTGCTGTGATTCAGAACAAAACACAGAGGCGGTGAGGTGAATTAAAGTAGAGACTTGAGGTGTTTTATGTCAACAACAATTCTTTCTTTCTCCTTGTTTATTGTTTCCAAGTGGATGTGGGTGCTTTACGTCAACAACAATAATGACTCTTGCTGCGGTTTTGGTTTCATGTCTGTGTATTATGTGCTTTACACGGCAATTCCAATAGAGGCCAGCTATCTATTTTTATATTAAATAACTAATACTATACAATATCATGTAATGTAATGGTTTTCATATAAATTATTATCTTCATGTGAATGAAAAGACGATAGAGTTGAATACCTAAGTATATATGATTAACTCCATTTGATGACTATACACACACATGAAATGATACATGACCAGCTAGCTGCCATACAATAATTTGTCAGCCGTCCACACTGGCGGTGATGTAGTTGAGTCAAATATTCTTTTGCCATGCACGTCAAGCCAATCACAATTTTATTATGCAGGCTGCGGGGTAAAGAGGAATCCAAAGACTATTTATTTATAACCAAGGTGGTTGGTGTGAGTGGTTCGGCACTCTCATTCCTTAAGAGATGTTAGGGGTTCGATCCCTGCTCTCGTACGGAGTCACCACTTTGGCCAACACTTTACCCCTTACGGGCCGACTCGGTATGAGTGGCGATTAGTCTGGGTTGTGGTTAAGGCTTAAAGGTGCCACCCATAGTTGGGGCCCATCCAGGACCACCTCATGGTTCAGACCAAAAAAAAAAGACTATTTATTTATTTATTCAAAACCCTCTTATGATCATACGGCTATTGTTGATCGATATGGGTTGGA